TATTTTGTTTGTTTAAGGTGCTATACTCCTCATAGAAGTGATCTAGACATGGTTCCAAGGCTTTAGAAGGGACTAGGGCTCATAATGGCCCCCTTTTTAGAGTTTACGGCCCAAGGACCACTACCTGGTCCTAGTGGGTTTACGGCCGTAAACCCATGGTAACTTCCATCATTTCGTGGTTTAAGGTCCTTAGCTCATGCATGTAAGGTTCTAGTCCAATATCCAAGCCCTAGAAGGTAATGGTGGCACATATGCACCACCTTATGGTGTTTACGGTCCAAGGATATTGCCTTGGCCGTAAACCCATGTGTTCTTGGGTATTCTTGATGTTTTTCCAATGGTTTAACAAGTATTCTAAGCAAATAACTAGTTAGGAGGAGTGTACTTACTTATAGGAAGCTTGTAAGAGTGTTTAAGGTCCAAAAACACTAGTGTGTGTTCTTGGTGTTTTGAAGAACACTTGAAGATCTATGAAAAAGACAAGATTTCATGGATGAAATCATGTATAACTACTAGATGAAGTGTTATAACAACAAATCAAGAGAAGAAACACTTACATTTTTGGAAGATTGGAAGAAATATGTTATGATACTTGAGAGAGAAAATGTGGGTGTTCTTGAGCTTGGAAGTGAGAAGTGAGGAAATGAGGAGTAAACTCATGCCTTAAGCATGAGTTCACGGCCAAGAGGAGTTTACGGCCCCAAACTCCCAAAGTTTGGCCGTAAACACCTTGTTATGGTGTGAAATGTTTATTTGTTACCCATTACTCCTAGAAGATACTTCCTTTTATTTGTTCGTTTGACGAATTTATATTAAAAACACCCAAACGGACTTTAAACCGGCTAAAATTTAGCAGAAATGAACTTGACTATTATTTGTAGTGCTTGACTGTAGGTCTTGTACAAATAGAAATTTCGGGTTGTCACATACGAACATTTACACTACGTTGTTACAAACATTTTCATACAAGCAATGACACTAAATACTTATGAACTCACCAGCGTTAATGCTGATAAACTCTTTCAAAATAACTTGTATTCTCAGGTCATCAGTAGACAGGTACCGATGAAGCTTTTGATAAGATGGAGCACATACAAGACTCATCTTTTATTTTGATCATTCTTTTGGTGTCTTACGAACTATACAGAACAGGCTTGTATTAAAATTATTTATATTAAGGTAATGGATGTTGTTGCTTGTCTTTACTATTATGCATTGTTATGATACTGTACATGACGTCCTCCACCCCAGATGGTTTCCGCCATTCCGGTTTTGGGGTGTGACATCGGCCCATTTCCCTTGCTACAAGAAGTACCCGCAACATTTAAACTTGAAAACATAAGCACAAGAACTTAGTGATTTTCCCCAAAATACCATATAACATACATAACAATGGCGCTCGCCCTAGGGGTATATTTCAACCCATGTGCATGCTATGATCCCACCATAGTCTTAAAGGCACTTTCATTGCTACATCCCCGCTGCAGTCTTTCCCACCATGGTCTTCCATGCAAGTGTTTTGATCCAACCAAAGTATTTTATACAAGTGTTGTAATCACACCACAGTCTTTCATGCAAAATTCACACAGACAATCTAGCATACAATGACACCCAATGTCCTACATAGTATAGTGAGAAAACTCATCTGATCAAAGATTTGTAATCCTCTACTCGAAATCCCACGGAGTCAGTTACACGAACCTCCTAAAATAATTACAAACTAAACCTTGGTATTTAACTCCAAAGCTCTCCAAGTTTGACCTTTGGTCAAACTGGTCTAAAAGTTAACTGTCAAAGTCAAAGGCCAGCCACTACGCCGTGGCCAACCCTTTACCGTGTCATGGCAACAACACGACAAAACAATCACGAATGGAACTAATCGCCGCGCTGTGGCAATTTTCTCACCACACCGTGACCTCGGCCAATCCTAAATCACGATGGATTTCCCCACCACGCCACGGTCAGCACACAACCACACCGTGGAGGTGCCGACATATCCAAAATTCATTAAGTCCTTATTACGTTGAGTCCATCACTCCAACTTCTCTAAAAGGATTCTATGTACTTATTTAATCCATAAAAATCCCAACTTTATGGACATGTATGTCCAATGCATGTCATGCACTCGAGTTAGGTCAAAATGAATTAAAAGGGGCCAAATTTCATGCATGGAACCAAAACAACCTTGGGAGTCCAGATGTGGAACATATATTGCTTTAGGGACCTTAAGCAATGATAGAGTTGAATCACAAATATATGATATGGACAACGACTGTGAATCTCATAAAGTCCACCCTAATGGAGAACCACGTGATGTAACAAGTGTAGGTAGTTGTTCCTTACTACTTTCACCATTTTATGTAAACTTTAATTTTTGTTTTCAATTTCTCCCATTTTAACTTTGTGTCCATCAAACTTCTCCTGATCCTACGATCACATCACTAAACCAGTCTAACTTGAGAAAAAAGAGAATACACATATGTGACAACTAATTTAAATTAAAAAGTAAGTTGTTATAAATGGTTAGTATGAATGAAATGAAAATATTAGCCTTATATGTGTGTATTAATACTAAGGGTTCGGGTTGTAAACGAACCGAACGAACACGAATGAGGGTTTGTTCATGTTCATTCGTTAAAGTTAGCCAAACAATTGAACGAACACGAACGGATAAACGAACTTTTCGTTCGTTTAACAAATTACATTGTTCATGTTCGTTCGTTTATGTTTGTCAACATGCTAAATGAACATAAATGAACAAAGATAAACAAACATAATTGAACATATATGAACATATAATATATTAATATAATCAAACATAATTAAGCATATATGAACATAAAATGAACTTATATGAACGAACGTTCACGAACATAATTAAACGAACGAGACTATTGTTCATGTTTGTTCTTTTAAATAAACGAACTAGAATTTGTGTTCACGTTCGTTCATTTACTAAATAAACGAACATAAATGAACCTCCTGGCTAACGGTTCACGAACAATTCGATGAACGTTCAGTTTGTTTATACCCCTACTAAGGGTAAATTGATCAAAAGCGACAAAAATTTGAAAGTATTATTGTTATTACGTTTAATTATGTCAATCAAAGTCAAATAAGTCATTGAAAATGGGTTTGATGGAAACAATGTTAAAATGGGAAAAATGAAATAAATAAATAAACTTTACACAAAAATTAAACAATGTTAAAATGTAAAGAAGAAATATAAAGACTAAACGATGTAATAAGTTCATATTATGCATTGGATTTTTGATGCTCGACAAAAAAGAGATGAACTTACAACTTATATTTTACAATTTTTTTTAGTTTCATATCCTAAAAAGCTATCAATTACATACTATATTTTCATACGTATTAATCATCATGTCGACGTAATTTTATCAGACTATCCAAAAGAGAAGGTTAATTTAAGAAATAAGAAAGAAACATTGAACAATTCATCCAAATATTCAAACCAATGAATCTTGGTAAGATTATGGAAAATATATAAATATATGATTATAATAATTTTTCTTTAAATACATAAAAAATATGGCCTAAGTTTTGCGTTTAACCAGCACAAACACAGGAATATTAGGTTCAACCTTTCAAGCACCATACATATGAGAAATGAGTTGTCGGCCTAATCTTTTTATTACTTATTACTTAGTTTTCTGTCCTTCTTTGAGGTGGGCAGGTAATGAAATCATACGATTCGGATTTTATTTATTTTTAAATCATTTAAAAAATATATATCTTTTGTTATTAATAAGTTATTTTGATCAACTAAATTCTAAACATTCCATACATATCATAGCATACCAAAAAATAATTTGACTATACTAAAGACATTAAATTAAATCACCGATATCTCATGTTTGATCTTTTCTCCATAAACAAATTGCAGTCACCCAAAGCGCTATGTTCGATAGAAACAAAGAATCTTGGCATTGTTGTGATCCAACCAAAGGGATAATTGTAACAATAGTTTGATATTATTTACTGCTTTGGGCGTATATATAGAAATCTTTCTCATTATCATAGTTGATCTTCAAAAAAAAGAGTTTGTATCGAGTAAAATATATACTTCGACTTTCTTGTGCTAGAACTTTAGCTCGTAAGCTTAAAAGCATTGTACGTGCTTTTTTGAAAAGATTTGGCTCGGAATTATTAGAAGAATTATTTACGGAAGAAGAACAAGTGTTTTCCTTGACCTTTCCAAGGGTTTCTTCCATTTCGCGAAGGTTATCTAGAAGACGAATTTGGTATTTGGATATTATTTGTATCAATGATTTGGCCAATCATGAATGATTCCTTATGAAACCTTGTAAATATAAATTTCATCACTATATAATCTAATAAATACTAAATAATCTAATAAATAATATAAATAATGAAGAGCTAACAATTTTGTTTTTATTTCTATTCTGAAATGTTGATGTAGTATGTAGTAAGGATAAAATCAACCGAGTATTCAATCTTTTCTTGTATAATGAAGGAACTGAGTTTTAGGTGTATACAGAGCTGAGTTTTAGATGTATACAAATGGAAAGCCGTGTGCAATGAAAAATGAAAGCACAGCTTAGGGAGAGATTTTTACTTATTTAACTTTAACAAGGAAATTATCTACTCCATCCGACTAGTTCCGGGTTCGAATCCCGAGCAACCCATTGTCATAGTGAAATTCTATTATATGCATATTGTATAAAAATCTTTTTTTTTTTTTTGCAAACCGCTTTTGATTTACAAAAAATTGAATTAGATCCAGATAGATATTGGTTGACACGGGCATATAAGTCATGTTATACTGTTAAATAACAAGCCTTTAGTTTTCCATTTGAAAATTTGTACGCTTGAGAGTCCCTGATAATTAAATAAACCAAGATTTTACAATGAATGCAATTTTAGAGAGACGCAAAAGCAAAAGCCTATGGGGTCGCTTCTGTAACTGGATAACCAACACCGAAAACCGTCTTTACATTGGATGATTTGGTGTTTTGATGATCCCTACCTTATTGACCGCAACTTCTGTATTTATTATCACATTTATTGCTGCTCCTCGAGTGGATATTGATGGTATTCGTGAACCTGTTTCTGGATCTCTACTTTATGGAAACAATATTATTTCATGTGCCATTATTCCTACTCCTGCAGCTATAGGTTTGCATTTTTACCTAGTATGGGAAGCAACATCCGTTGATAAATGGTTATACAATGGTGGTCCTTATGAACTAATTGTTCTACACTTCTTACTTGGTGTAGCTTGTTACATGGGTTGTGAGTGGGAGCTTAGTTTTCGTCTTGGTATGCGACCTTGGATTGTTGTTGCATATTCAGCTCCTGTTGCAGCTGCGACTACTGTTTTCTTGATCTACCCAATTGGTCAAGGAAGCTTTTCTGATGGTATGCCTCTAGGAATTTCTGGTACTTTCAACTTCATGATTGTATTCCAGGCTGAGCACAACATCCTTATGCACCCATTTCACATGCTAGGCGTAGCCGGTGTATTCGGCGGCTCCCTATTTAGTGTTATGCATGGTTCTTTGGTGATCTCTAGTTTGATCAGGGAAGCCACAGAAAATGAATCTGCTAATGAAGGTTACAGATTCGGTCAAGAAGAAGAAACTTATAATATCGTAGCCGCTCATGGTTATTTTGGTCAATTGATCTTCCAATATGCTATTTCAACAACTCTCATTCTTTATAATTCTTCCTAGTTGCTTGGCATGTAGTAGGTATTTGGTTCACTACTTTAGGTATCAACATTATGGCTTTCCACCTAAATGGTTTCGGTTTCATCCAATCGGTAGTTGATAGTCAAGGCCGTGTAATTAATACTTGGGCCGATATCATTAACCGTGCTAACCTTGGTATGGAAGTTATGCATGAACTTAATGCTCAGAATTTCCCTCTAGACTTAGCTACTATCGAAGCTCTATATACAAATGGATAAGACTTTGGTCTTATTGTAATTGTATACGAGTTTTTGAACTAAAAAAGGAGCAATAATGCCCTCTTGATAAAACAAGAGGAGAGCTATTGCTCCTTTTTTTATTTAGTAGTATTTGTCTTACATATTTCCGTTAGAAATAACAAGGTCTTTTGTTTGGTTCAATTAGCATGTTTTCTCTTTGTGTTAATTTAGAGGTTAATATATCCTTTTCCCAATGTTTTATGAAGTTTGATTTCCAATTGAATTTCAATCTAAAATAGATAAAAATGAAAAATTTTATTATTTATTTCTTTGATTTCAAAAATAAGAAAGAAAATAAGAAAGAAATAATATGTTCTTTTTTATGTTAATAGAAAAATATAGAAATACTAGATAATAGTAAAGGGGTAGATGTAGCCAAGTGGATCAAGGCAGTGGATTGTGAATCCACCATGCGTGGGTTCAATTCCCATCGTTCGCCCAAATTTAATTTATTTTTTAAATAAATTATTCGCTAGAAATGGATTATTTTATTGAACGTGTCACAGCTTCCTCCTATTTTTTTATTTTGTAAAGATGAAGAAAGAAATTCTATTTTCACTCCTATTTACTATGCCGACGAAGAATCAAATTATCACTATATTTATTCATTTTTCTACTTCTTTTTCCAAGTGCAGGATAACCCCAAGGGGTTGTGGGTTGTTTTCTACCACTTGGGGCCCTCCCTTCACCACCCCCATGTGGATGGTCTACAGAGTTCACAATTACTCTTCTTACTACATGGCGTTTACCTAGCCAACACTTAGATCCGAGTCTACCCAAACTTTTCTGGTTCACCCCATCATTCCCCACTTGTTTGACTGTTGTTGAGCAGTTTTTGGATATCAAACGGACCTCCCCAGAAGGTAATTTTAATGTGGCCAATTTCCCTTCTTTTGCAATCAGTTTCGCTACAACACCCGCCGCTCTAGCTAATTGTCCACCCTTTCCAAGTGTGATTTCTATGTTATGTGTGGTTACGCCTAAGGGATTTGTTCCCTGTGAAACGAAATTTTGAGAAGAAAAGGTTAGCCGAGGAGAGGGGTCATATGAGAAGGAAGCAGAAGCAAACGAGACAATAGAATAAGTCGAGGAAAGAGTTTTGGGTTGGTGCCAACAGCTATATTATTATTTAGGAGGAGAACGAAGAAAGAGAAAAATATTCAGCATAATGAAGACACTTCCGACAACTATTAGAGAAGGTTGCCGGAAGTGGAGGGCAGTGGTTACGGGTTGTGGTCAGCAATAGAGTTTTAACCTAGAGCTCTGATACCATGTAAGATAATAGAATAATAGATTGCTTGATTATAATGAGAATTTAACCTCATATAAATAGGAATGCAAAATGGATTCTTGGCCTAACCTAAACCTTAATGAGTATTGTGATGCTAATTATGCAAGCGACTTGAACATTTGTCAGCTGATTATATGTTACGTTTTCAGGCTTGGGTCAAGTGTGATATCTTGGTGTAGCAAATGATAGTCCCGTTATGTCTCTATCCATGATTGAAGATGAGTATCGAGCTCAAGCCATGATAGTCTTGTAGGATGATAGATTGCTTGACTATAATAAGGATTTAAATTCATATAAATAGGAACACAAAATAGGCCAAAGGCCTAACAGTGGCCCAAAATCAAAAGACTTGTGGCCCAACAAGGGCCCAAAACCCTAAAGCCCAATGGCGGCCCAAAAGTCAAAAGTCCACCTGGTCGTGAGTGCTAAGCATTCCCCTAGTATGACCGGTGTATTAGGTGGCTACACCGAGTCGGGGATCCAAACACGTATACGCAGCGTACGTATTCGAACGCCCGGTGTACACCGCCTTCAGCTCTTTTCATCCGTTAAGTCTTTAATGCTTAAGACTAAATGACGAAATTTCAGATCCAGACCTTGGGGAACGTCTTAACCCATAAAGTCACTAACTTGGTGCCTTTGCATGGCTTAAATGGACCCAAACCTAGATTTAGCATCCTACTTTCACCAAATGGACATATACTCATGGATGGTTGATCCTCAACCATCAATATGCTAACTTTATGGACTAGGGATCTCAAAAACATCAAGAGGAGCAAATCATAACTTCTGGAGTGGTAAACTTCCATTAGATCTCATTCATGAGACCAAAAAGTGACCAAAACTCCATAATAACTATATCTAAGCATAGAATGAACAAGGTCCAAGCTTTATACCTCAATGTAGCTGGAAATAATGAGTGGAATTTGGATCTACAAGCTCCTCCTTGATCAAAGCTCCTTCTCCAAGTTTCTTTGTCTTCAAGGTTCACTAAACACCCACTAAAACACACACTAAGGGGTTCAAATCTCTCTAGATGATCAAGGGTTTCAAATGAGGTTAAAAAGGGCAACGGAGGCTGAGAAATGAGAGAACCTTGGGACATAAGGTTGCTTAAATAGGGTCCAAACCCTAAAATTAGGTTTTGTCCCCTGATTGTGTACGCCCAACGTACATGAGGAATGCCCAACGTACGCACCCTCCTCCCAAAATTACAATAATGCCCAAAGGACCAAAATTGCAAACTAATTACACACCAAGGGTCCAAAATGAAAAATACCTTGAATCGGGTGTTATAGATAGGCAACTAACTAAGCTAGTCTAGTGGCCTGACTTCATACTACAGGGTAACTTTATCCTAACATACAAAGGACATATACTAGAGTAGACAATATAGTGAGGAGAACTCACCTGGACAATTTCTCAAAGGATTAACAGTTAACCGGACAAATCAACTGGTTTGCAACACACCAACGGGGATTAACCTATAATGATATAGCTTATTAGTTCCTATGGGAATCTGGTAAAGAAGGCTAGACCTTTCATTAATCCCAATGAGTACATAGAGTTCTATCAAAGAAGGATCGGCCAGGCAGGACAATTGGGAGGCAAGATCATTTCGTCATATAGTTTTTCTGAAATCCAACAACCACGCCAACGTGTCCATTCTAGGCACCTCTCCCATAAGTAGATCAATCAATATTATGACTTGGAATTAATGAGGATTCTAGCATTTATAGGTTCCTAATAACGATTACAATTATGAAAATAAGTTATCCTAAAAGCTTAGTAGGCATAGTTGTACTTACAGAGGTTTCTAGCGAAAACCGAGAATTTTGCAGGCAAAACATCGACTCGATAGCTTCTAATTTTCGAGCCCTCTGATGCTCTAGAGTTTTACTAAAGTGAAAACCTCCAAAACTCCCAAAATGTACTCAAAAAGTAAAACCATAGAGAGAAATGAGAGATAAAGTGTGGAAACAAATGAAAAGGAGGCACTCTATTTATAGCAGCCAGGTACATCGTGCCCACCTACTAAGCATTGTGCGCCCTGTGGTAGGTGGGTCCCTGGCCTGCCACCTATCGCCTCCTAAATGGTGATGTGTCGCCCCTTAGCAGGTAAAATCACAAATCTTCTAAATACGAACTCTGTTTTCGACGTTCTTTATTTAGACCCCGTTAGCTAATTCTCATATGATCTTAAATTTAACAGTCTACGAAGATTATACTGTTAATCACCGTGTAAAATTCATAACTACTTCATATGGACTCCGTTATTGAATGTATTTATATTGACGTATTATTAATCACGAGATCTTCAATTCTCATTTAGATTGTTTTGGCTAATAATGAACCGATTTGAATTTCGATTTATGTGTCCACACTGTTCCCCTGAAACTTCGAAAGAGCATAACTTTCTCATATAAAGTCAGATTTTGACGTTCTCTATATGTACGCTCTCAGTTTTACGACCACTATGACTTTCGTTTAGATTTCTTAGGTTAATAAGCCGCCTACCTTTAACTCACTTTTAACGATACGCGGAGTTGTGTCGGTTTAATCGCGAAACTTCAAAGAAGCATAACTTCTTCATACGAAGTCGGATTTAAGTGTTCTACATGTAACATCCCAAAAATGAAGTCCAAAAACATTTTATTATTATTAAATAACCATAACTATCAAACCCCATTTCATAACAAAACATAAATCATAGTATCAAATCGGATTTCTCATCAAAACTCATATTAACATATATCAGAGTGAAAACATCTCAGGCTAAACAAATGGTGTGTGCACTGCAATCATCCCGAGCTCCTATTTTGAAAACCGAAGTACCTGAAACCAAAACTGAAAACTGTAAGCACGAAGCTTAGTGAGTCTCCCCAAACTACCACATACCATACACATCATCACATAATAACATACATTGGGCCTTGCCCACTACATCGAGCCCCGCCCGGCATCGGATAAGTCCGACATCGGGCCCCGCCCAGCATCGGACCGAAATCTGGTATACATATAAACATATCAGCAATGCATATAACATAAACACATAACATAAACATAACTTGGGTCTAGCCCACTACATCGGGCCCGCCCGGCATCGGACCGCATCCGGCATCGGTCCCCGCCCGGCATCGGACCGAAGTCCGATATACATATATCATATTAACAAACATAAAACATAAACACATATCATAAACACATAAACATTCCTCGGGCTTGCCCCGACATCGGACCGAGGTCCGGAACACATAACACATAGCATATAAGCTAAAAATTCCTCGGGCTTGCCCCGACATCGGACCGAAGCCCGAGACATATAAACAAACACATGCAAGAAATCATAAAGGCATCAAGCATACAAACATTCTTCGGGCTTGCCCCGGCATCGGACCGAGGTCCGGAAACATATAATCTACATCAGGCTAACCCCCGCATCGGACCTAAGT